AACAGATGGACAGAGGGAGAGGAACATCACACACTGGGGCCTGTTGGGGCGGGGGGTAGTGGGGCTAGAGGAGTGATAGCAGGGAGTGGGGGGATTGGGGAGGGATAACGTTAGAAGAAATACGTAATGTAGACGACCAGGGGGATGGATGCAGCAAACCACCAAGGCACGTGTATACCTATGCAACAAACCTGCACATTCTGCACATGTACCCCAAAACTTAAAGTATAATAGAAAATAAAAATTAAAAATAAATAAAATACATGAAAAGCTTAAAAAAAAGAATACTTACACAAAAAATGACAAAATGCTGACAAATCAAATCCAGCAACACATAAGAATTTTACAGCATGATTAACTAGGATTTATCCCAGGAATGTAAGTTATTTCAATATCTGAAAATCAGTTAATGTCAAACATATCAATAGAACAAATAAATATCACACAGTCATGCCAATGGATGCACAGAAAGCATTTAACAAAATCCAGCATATTACACACACACACACACACACACACACACGAAACTAGGAATAGTTTCTTCAACCTGAAAAAGAGAGTCTATGAAAACCCACAGATGATATGCTGAATGTTTTACCCTTAGATCAGAAACAAGAAAAGGATGGCCACTCATCATTTTTGTTCAACATTTACCAGAGATTTTATCCAGAAATTTGGCAGGAAAACGATATAAAAGACATCCAAATAGGAAAGGAAAGCCAGATGCAGTGACTCATGATTATAATCCTAGCACTTTGGAAGGCCAAGGTGGGCAGATAACTTGAGGTTGGCAGTTTAAGAACAGCCTGGCTGACATGGTGAAACCCCCTCTCTACCAAAAAATACAAAAACTAGCTGGGTGTGGCGGTGCATGCCTGTAGTCCCAGCTACTCAGGAGGCTGAGGTGGGAGAATCACTTGAACCCAGGTGGCGGAGGCTGCATTGAGCCAAGATGGCACCAATGCACTAAAGTCTGGGTGACAGAGCTACACTTCATCTCAAAAAAAAAAAAATAGGAAAGGAAGAAGTAAAACTATCTTTATTTGCAGATAATATGATCTTGTATATAGAAAATATGAATTAATCTTTTTTAAAAAAGGTATTAGAATTAATAAATGAACTCAGCAAGTTTGCAAGATGTAGTATCTATATAAAAATCAATTGTATTTCTATACATTTGCAGTGAACATCTAAAAATGAAATTAAGAAAACAATTCTGGGCCAGGCACTTTGGCTCACACCTATAATCCCAGCACTTTGGGAGGCCAAGGAAGGAGAATCACTTGAGGCCAGGAGTTCAAGACCAGCCTGGGCAACATGGCAAAACTCCATCTCTACAAGAAAAAAAAAATAGCTAGGTGTGGTGGTGTATGCCTATAGTCCCAGCTACTCAGGAGGCTGAGGTGAGAGGAGCTGTGGATCCCAGGTAAGTAAAGGCTGCTGTGAGCTGATTGTGCCAGCGCACCCCAGCATGGGTGACAGAGTGATACTGTGAGAAAGGAAGGAAGTAAAGAAGGGAGAAAGGAAGGAAGTAAAGAAGGAAGAAAGGAAGGAAGGAAGGAGGGAAGGAAGGAAGGAAGGGAGGAAGAAAGGAAGGGAGGAAGGGGGGAAGGAGAGAAGGAGGGAAGGAAGGAAGGAAGGAAGAGAGGAAGGAAAGAAGAGGGGAAGGAAGGAGGGAAGTAAAGAAGGAAGAAAGGAAGGAAGGAAGGGAGGAAGGAAGAGAGGAAGGAAGGAAGGAAGAAAGGAGGGAGGGAAGGAAGGAAGGAAGCAAGCAAGCAAATAATTTGGTTTTGACTTTACAGGCTCATAGACGAAAGAAACTTGACTTGAGTCTCAGGTGAGACTTTGGACTTTGGACTTTTGAGTGAGTTGATGCTAGACTGAGTTATGATTTTGAAGAACTTTGGGGAAGACATGATTGTATTTTCCAATGTGAAAAGGATGTGAGATTTGCGGGGAGCAGGAGAAAATGATATGGTTTGGATGCGTGCCTCCTCCAAGCTTCATGTTGAAGTGTGATCTCTAATGTTGGAGGCGGGGCCTAGTGGATGGTGTATTGGATCATGGGGGTGGATCCTTCATGAATGGCATGGCACCATCCTCTTTGTGATAAGTGAGCTCTTGCTCTGAGTTCGCACGAGATCTGGCTATTTTTAAAAGTCTGAGACTTTCCTTTTTCCTTTGTCCCTCGTTCTTCTCTTGCCATGGGACATGCTGGCTCCCTGTCACCTTCTGCCAAGACTATAAGCTTCTAAAAGCCTCACCAGAAGCAGATGCTGGCACTATGCTTCCTTTGTGTTCAGCCTGCAGAATCTTGAGCCAATTAAACCTCTTTTCTTTATAAATTACCCAGCTTCAAGTATCTCTTTATAGCAATGTAAAATGGGCTAATACACTAAATAATCCTGAAAAATAACAGAGGATGACTCACACTTCCCAGTTTCAAAACCTTCTGCGAAACAGTGATAATCAAGACAATGGGATTCCACTACGAGGACTAACACATCAGTAAATGGAGTAAATTTGAGAGTCTAGAAATAAATGTATACATCATGGCCTACTGATTTTCAGCAAAAGTGCCAAGACTGTTCAGCAGAGAAATTGGATAGCTACATACAAAAGAATGAAGTTGGTCTGTTTTTTTTACACCAAATACAAAGTTAACTCAAAATGAGTCAAAGATATAAGCAAAAGAGTTTTGCTCTTTATACTTTTAGAATATAAAACTCTTTTAGGGAGAACAAAAAAAAAAAGGAAAGAAATCAAAATTCTCATATACTGCTAGTGAGAATGTGAAATGGTACAGCTGCTTTAGAAAACAGTCTGCCAGTCCCTCACATGGTGGCACATAGTGTTAACATATGGCCCAGAAAATCCACTTCTAGGAATGTTCGTAAGAAATAAAAATATATGTCCACACAGAAACCTGCACATGAATATTCACAGCAGCATTACTCATAATAGCCGAAAGGTGGAAACGCCACCACAAATGTTAAGCAACAAATAAATGGATAAAAAATGTGGTATATTCATACAATGGAATATTATGTAGTCATAAAAAGAAATAAAGTACTAATATGTGGTACTTACACGAACTCTGAAAATCCATTAAGAAGCCAACCATAAAAGTCCACATATTTGAGCGGAAGTCCAGAGCAGGGAAATCTATAGAGAGAAAGTAGATTAGTGGTTACTTAGGATTGGGCAGGGTCAGAGTGAGAGAGTTTGTCAGGGAATGGGGTTTTTTTTGTTGTTGTTTTTTGTTTTTGAGGTACTTAAAACATTCTAAAATTGATTGTGGCAATGGTGGCACGTATCTTTGAATATACTAAAAACTATTCAATTGTACACATTAAATAGCTGAATTATTGGATTAGAATTCAATAAAGCTATTTTTAAAATACATATGAAAGTAAAGGGAGTGAAGAATAACCAAGATACCTGATAAGAAGAGCAGAGAGAGGATCAGATATTAGGATTTATTTTATTTATTTTTATTTATTTTTGAATGGAGTTTTGCTCTTGTTGCCCAGGATGGGGTGCAATGGCACAATCTCAGCTCACTGCAACCTCCGCCTCCCAGGATTTATTATGGATCTGTAATAAAAACAGTGTGGTATTAGTTCAGGGATAAATAAATTGGCCAATGAAATAAAACTGAGAGCCTAAAAATCCATGCATGTTAGGAACATTTTCATATGATAAATATGGACTTAATGATCAGTATGAAAAGGAGAGGTTGATTGTTTAATAAATTGAGCTAGAAAAATGATTATCACATGGAAAAAATTGAAATTGAATTCCTACCACAGGCCATCACAAAAATCAATTCCAAATGGATTGAGGACTTAAACTCAGGAATAAAACTCTTAATATAAAATACAGGGTAAATGGGAAAGGATGGCTAACCCAGAAATAAAGCCATACACCTACAGCCCTCTGACTTTCAAGGAAATCAACAAAAATAAGCAATGGGGAAAGGACTCCCTATTCAATAAATGGTGCTGAGATAAATGGCTAGCCATATGCAAAAGAATAAAACTGAACACCTACCTTTCACCATATACAAAAATTAACTCAAGATGGATTAAATATTTAAATATAAGACCTCAAACTAAGAATCCTAGAAGAAAACCTAGGATATACCATGCTGGACATCAGCCATGGGAAATAATTTATAACTAAGTCCTCAAAAACAATTGAGACAAAAATAAAAATTGATATGTGGGACCTAATTAAACTAAGGAGCTTCTGGACAGTGAAATAAACTATCAATAGACTAAACAGATAAACTACAGAACAGAAGAATATCTCCACGTACTATGCATCTGAGAAAGGTCTAATATCCAGACTTTATAAAGAACTTAATTCAACAAGCAAACAACAAATAATCCCATTTAAACGTGGGCAAAAGACATAGACACTTCAGAAAAGAAAGACAAGTGACCAGAAAACATGAAAAAATGTCCAACATCACTATCATCAGAGAAATGCAATCAAAATCACAATGAGATATCATCCCACATGAGTCAGAATGGTTATTATTAAAAAGTCAAAAAATAACAGATGGTGATGAAGCTGTGGAGGAAAGGAAATGTTTATTCACTGTTGGTGGGAATGTGAATTAGTTCAGCCACTTTAAAAAGCAGTTTAGGCCGAGCACGGTGGCTCAGGCCTATAATCCCACCACTTTGGGAGGCCGAGGGGGGTGGATCACTTGAGGTCAGGAGTTCGAGATCAGCCTGGCCAACATGGTGAAACCCCATCTCTTTATAAAAAAAAAAAAAAAAAAAAGCTTGGCGAGAGGTTCTTCCCTGCGAGTCCCTGCAGTTTCCTGCTTCAACAGTGCTTGGACGGAACCTGCGCTCGTCCCCCACCCCGGCCAGCCGCCCGGAGCCAGCCCTCCATCACCTGTATACCGCGCCCTCAGACCGCCCCAAGGCCCCCGCCGCGGCTCCAGCGCCCGCAGCCACTGCCGCAACCTCTCCTTAGCCCGGGCCATGACTACTGCGTCCTGCTCGCAGATGCGCCAGAACTACCACCGGGACTCACAGGCCACCATCAACCGCCAGATCAACCTGGAGCTCTGTGCCTCCTGTGTTTACCTGTCCATGTCTTACTACTTTGACTGCGATGATGTGGCTTTGAAGAAATTTGCCAAGTACTTTCTTCACCAGTCTCATGAGGAGAGGGAACATGCCGAGAACCTGAGGAAGCTGCAGAACCAAGGAGGTGGCCACATCTTCCTTCGGGATATCCAGAAACCAGACCATGATGACTGGGAGAGCAGGCTGAATGCCATAGAGTGTGCATTACATTTGGAAAAAAAATGTGAATCAGTCACTACTGCACCTGCACAAACTGGCAACTGACAAAAATGACCCTCATTTCTGTGACTTAATTGAGACACATTACCTGAATGAGCAGGTGAAATCCATCAAAGAATTGGGTGACCACATGACCAACTTGCGCAAGATGGGAGCACACCAATCTGGCTTGATAGAATATCTCTTTGACGAGCACACCCTGGGATACAGCGATAATGAAAGCCAAGCCTTAAGCTAATTTCCCCACACCCACGGGGTGACTTCCCTGGTCACCAAGGCAGTGCATGCATATTGGGGTTTCCTTTACTTTTTCTATAAATTGTACCAGAACATCCACTGAAGTTCTTTATACCATTCCTTCAAATAAAGAAATTTGGTACCCCCCCTCCCAAAGAAAATGCAGTTTGGCGATATCTCCAAAGAATTTAAGACAACTACCATTCAGCCCAGCAATCCCATTACTGGGTGTATACTCAAAGGAAAATAAACCTTTCTACCAAAACGACTTATGCACTTGTATGTTCATTGCAGTATTATTCACAATAGCAAAGACATGTAATCAAACTAAGTGCCCATCAAGGGTGGATTGGAGAGAGGAAACGTAGTACATATAACACCACGAAATACTACATAGCCATAAAAATAATAAAATCAGGTACTTTATAAGAACATAGAAGCAGCTGGAGGACATTATCCTAAGCAAATTAATGCAGGAACGAAAGCTGAGCATTGAGTACACATGGACATAAAGATGGGGACAGCGAGCAGAGGACTAATGGTGAGGGCAAGAGCTGAAAAACTACCTATTGCGTACAGTGCTCACTACGTGGGTTATAGGACCATTTGTACCCCAAATCTCAGTGTCACCCAATGTACCCATGTAACAAATGTGCACGTATACTCCTTGGATCTAAAATAAAAGTTGAAATTTTAAAAAGGTAAAACAAATAAAATATGGGATAAATATTTTTAAATCTTAGTATTAAAATCTTTTAATAAGATACAAAATCTGTTAATTTTTAAATGTACAAATGTCCGAATAATTGGTGTTCATAACTATTGTTCCTCAAAACATATCTTCAAAAACATGAAAAGATAAGTTTCTATAAGAAGGTATTTTCAATAACATCCATGAATAATTTGGATTAATAAAAAGTGAATGACAACAACAAACCAATAAGGGAAGAATAAGTAACCTAATGGGAAGATGAGCAGAAACTTGAGTGAGGAAACATCTAGCCAATACCCATACATAGAATGCTCACCATTAGTGATCAGGGAAAGTCATATCAAAATCACAATGCAATACTATTTTAAATGATGTCAATTGGGAAGAACTTAAAAGTCTGAGATACAAAATGTTGAGGAAGATCTGGAGAATAAATTGGTGCAACCAGTTGGGAAACAGTTTGGCATTACCTTTTAAAGTTGAACATTCACATGCTGTGCAATCCAGCAATTTGACTATATAGCCACTGAGTTTCCTATATGAAAAGAAACTCTGACACTTGTAAAACAGGACACATATACAAGAAAGTTCATAGTAGTATCGTTCACTAGAGAAAAATCTGGAAATAACCAAAATATTCATCAATGGGAAAGTAGATTTTTTAAAAAAGAACATGTAATGAAAGATTATACATCTATAAAAAGCAATATGAAGCTTAGCAAAAGATTATTAAGGGGAAAAATCCCAAAATATCATAGATATGGCTTTTTCAGAAAATATAAAAATAGAACCTAAACTCAAATACATTCACTTTATAGAAATCAAGAACAAAAACCATATGATTATTTCAATCGATGCTGAAAAAGTGTTTGATAAAATTCAACATTCCTTCATGACAAAAATATGCAACAAACTGGGTATATAAAAGGAACATACCTCAAAACAGTAAAAGTCATATATGACAAATCCATAGTTAATATAATAGTGAATGGAGGAAAATTAAAAGGCTTTCTTTTAAGGTTTGGAACATGACAATGATGCCCACTTCCACCACTTTTACTCAACATAATATTGGAAATCCTAGACAGGGCAATTAGGCAAGTGAAAGAAATGAAGCACATCCTAATTGGAAAGGAAGAAGTCAAATCATCTTCCTTTGCAGACAACATGATCCTATATTTGGAAAAACCTAAACTAAAAAACCGTTATAGCTGACAAAGTAATTCATACAAAATCAATATACAAAAATTAGTAGCATTTCTATATACCAACAGTGAACAATCTAAAAAAAAAAAAATTAATCGCCAGACACAGTGGCTGATGCCTGTAATCCCAGCACTTTGGGAGGCCAAGGTGGGCAGATAACTTGAGGTCAGGTGTTTGAGACCAACTTACCTTTTTTTTTTTAACATATTAAACATTCATTTTATATGCTGCATCTGACAAGTAACTCTTACTGCTTATTTGCTCTGCTAATTTTCAATCATGGTATCTTGTGCATTTGTGATTTTTTTCAACTTTTAAGTTCATGGGTACATGTGCAGTATGTGAAGGTTTGTTACATAGGTAAACATATGCCATGGTGGTCTGCTTCACAGATTATCCATCAACCTAGGTATTAATTCCAGCATCCATTATCTATTCTTCCTAATGCTCTCCCTCCCCCCATCCCACCCCTGACAGCCCCAATGTGTGTTGTTCCCCTGATATGTCCATGTGTTTTCATCATTCACCTCCTACTTATAAGTGAGAACACGTGGTGTTTGGTTTTCTGTCCCTGCATTAGTTTACTACGGATAACAGCTTCCAACTCCATCCATGTCCCTGCAAAGGACGTGATCTTCTTTCTTTTTAAGGCTGCATAGTATTTCATGTTGTATATGTACCACATTTTCTTTATCTAGTCTATGGGTATTTCTGCCTCTAGTTTTTTGAGGAATCACCACACTATCTTCCACAATGGTTAATCTGCTGGTCTTTTTTTTTT